TCTGGGACAAACTACACTGAACAATTATTTGAATCTCTTGATCCCAAAAAAAATGGCTTTCCTTTGATCACATTAAGACGTCAAATAGTTTAAGTCCTTAAGTAATTCCAATTATTTGAGTGAGTTCAAACCCTATTTGTTAATTCCAATCACAACACAAATGAAATTTATATTTATATGGTGATTTACATAATCTTAGTAAAAGTGTTGCTAAATTTATTTTAATTTATAATCCTTTTTATAAAATATAAATGTAATAAGTCTAACTATTATATTGTGTGATGTTATTTAATAATTATATATCAAATTATAGATAAATTAATATTTTTCATAATATATTATATTAAAATAAACCTAGTATTCGTTGCGATTTACTGACCCACAAAGATTGTAACTAAATCAATGAAAATTAACTCTAAAGTGATGAGGTGCAAATAAGTTGTAATTATGATGGTTGATTAAAAAAATCATATCTTAGGATTTAGCCAAATTTTATAAGTTGTGTATCTATCCACATATTTTAACATATTTGATTATTGATTTTTAATCAATAATGTTAATTAACTACACTTTTATATTCAAAAGGTTCCTTTAATTTAAAAGAATCAAAATTTAAAAAAGTTACGGGCCAATTTTAGTGACTGAAATAACAATTAATTACTCAGTGGTAATAAGAAAAAAGTCAACTGTTGAAGTGGTTGCTATAAGTCAAATTAATTAACATAGATTAAATTAATTTTAGTGACAAAAATAGCGATTGATGCATGTAACAACAACAAAAAAAAAAAAAACAAGTCAGGTTACTTAATGTACGCATTTCAACCTTGGGTGATGAAGAGCCCTGAACTCGATCCTAGCCTTGTCAAGTATATTAATTTAGATGTATAATTTATTTAATACGTTATTTTAATAATAATTTAATGTCATAAATTCAATAATAAAATTTATTAAAATAAATTAATTTTTTTAATTACAATCATATTTAAATTGAGTAAAATCATTATAAAAGATAAATTTATTTTTTCAATTATTTAACACATCTGCATTCAAACACACAATTTTCTTTTTCAGCATTTAACACAACTTAAATTTACATATTAAACTGGAATAACTTGAGTATTTGATAATATTTACTTTAATATACTATATAAAAATTATTCAAATAAATTTAATAAAAAAAGCTGTAATTAAACATACTCTAAGAGTAAATTATGAACAAACTCAATGTAATGACGATACATGTACCACATCCATGATCCAAATGATGGCGTCGTCCCTCACCACTAATCCCTCGTTGCATTAAACTTTAATTTCTTATAGAGTTTTGTTATATATATATTAGTTAACCCATTTCGTATAAGCTTGATCAACTACAAATCATTATTAAATCCGATTAGTTGATCCGCGAAAATGGGCGAGTTTATGAAAATGGTGGAATTTACTTCGGCTCATATACAGGTCACTCAATCCATTTGTTTAACTAATAAAAATATATAAAGATTATTTAAAATTAGATAAAATATATTAATATACATATAAATATAAAAAAAATTATGCCTGATTAACTCATGAGTTATAACCTCATTTGAAATATTAGCAATACATCCTTTAATATATTCTTTATTATTAGTTAAAATTTATTAATAATTATAAAAGTATAAAAAATATTAAATTAAAAGTAAAAAACAGTGAAGCTCATATAATTTTAATAGTTTTTAATCAATTTTAGTTAATAATAATGAATATATTAAAAAGTGTATTATTTACAACTATTTATTAAAAAATATACTTTATAAAAAAAAACCCTCACATCTAAATGTAAATGTACATATACTTTTGTTGATTCTAAATCATTGGCACTCAACTCTTAACTTAAATGAATTGATGTGTAGACTTGGAATCAAAATATTCAACTCTGCTATTCTTCTAAACAATTTACTTGCTACTTTATAAAATAGGTATTAAAAAGTTATGTATTTATCATTTTAAAACTATAAAAAAATATTTTATGCTTTTTTATTTAATAATTGAGAGAGTTTATAGGAATAAAAAATAAATTATTCACTATATTTTCTCTATTTTCATTTTGGACATTGTTTTGTACGTATTATGCATTTGTTTAATGAAATTTAATTGATTTTACTTAATTGAGATTTTTGGTTGACTATATGCAGGTTTTTTGAATGGGAATATATACAAATAAAAAAATATTAAAATTTATTAAACTTATTAGTATTGAATCTCTATAATATTTAGAGAGCAAATGGTGTTGCTAGCTTGTATGTGGTTACTGGCTCAATTTAATGACCGGCATGTCCAGTGACCCATCTTAAAATGGTAGAGACCAAATAGTTTAATCGATTAATTAGTTACTTTATTCACCATTTGTGTAATCAATTGCTGATAGTGTTAGCAACCATGGGTTTGGCAATCGTTGTTGATCCATTACTAATTTAATTGTTGACTATTTTAGTACAAAATCATAATTCAGCAACTGAATTTTTGGTTGCTAGTTAACTACCTCTTGTAACTTCATTTACTGAGAATATTTAATTGAATGATTAGATAGTGAAATTTAATATTTATAAAAAAAAATTAAGTAGAGTAGATTTAACACTTACTCATAAAATAAGTAGATCATTCAAACTGCATGAATTATTGTGTTTTGATATTATAAATAATTTTTATTAGCTTTTTTTAATTATTGTACCTAATGCACAATAAAACTGATAAAATTAATTTTTTTTAAAAATATTTTACTAACAATAAAAATAAAAATAAGATATAAATACACAAGCATGTGAAATTTTTAGTTTTGACAAATCTAAAATATTGATTTAAATAATAAAATATTATTTCAATGATAGTTTATAATTTTTTATTATATGTAATGTTTAACAAGGAATTTTAAGCTTTTATTGTCATATAAACCTATAAAACATGTGTCATTAAATGAGAAAAATATGTAAATAACGTAATAAAGTGTATATACTCTACTTACTAACTTATTATCTATATAAATTTAATAGTCTAACAATTAAATCATATAATACTGTTTTAATAGTATATTATAATTATCAAACTTGAGATAAAATTAACATTTATACAACTGTATATACAATTGAGTTTAGATTTATTAACAGTGTTAAATTTAAAAATTTATACTACTTAGTAATTTTTTATAGAATATGAGATAAATCAATTCAATTATAAGTTTAAATATTTTTATCAAATAGATCAATTTTATAAAATTTTATTTAAAAATATAATTAATAAATATTTTATTATATTACTTTGTTTTAATGAATATTATATTTTTAAAATATAAATAAATATTAAATTTTAAATAATATACCTATAAATGTCTAAATTACATAAAATTTGATAAATATAATTACAAAGATAATATAAAAAAATTCAGTAATTAGATTTACCAACCTTATATTCTATAAAAATTTATTAAAAAAATAAATATCTATATTTAATACTTGGTATTAACGAATTCCTTCTAACTCTATATAATTTTGTACTTAACATTTACTTATACTTAAGAAAACACCTATTGTATATTAAATTGAAGTTGATTAGTGAAATATTAACTATAACTTTAAATTATATAAAATTTATAAAGTTAAACCTTTTTAATAAAAATTATCAATAAACGAGATCTATTTAATAAGACTAATTTGTCTAAAAAAATTAAATATTGTTTAAAGTCACATGATTATTACTTTAAAGTGTACATGACATATTTGGTAAGAAGTATTAAAAATAAAGCTAATATTAAATGAGTAGCACTATATTTAAATAAAATAATTGTAAACATTCGCAAATGATTAGTGTGTCCAAAATTAACTCTTTTCATACTTTAGTTTTCTATATAAAAGAAAGTAGGTTAACAACTTGCATCTTTGACAATATTTAATAAATTTAAATTACAATTTATTAAAGTACGCTGAAATGCTAATATACTTACTTCTATTTATTTCTTTAAGAAAATTTTCTTAACATAGAGTTTCAGAAGTATTTTAATAATTCTAAAATATTAGCAAACTCGTATGATTTATGCCTGCGCATATGCACGCGCTTGGTTGGGATACTTTGAAGAATTGTGCAAGTTACTACCATTCTTCCAATTGAAATGATTGTTTACTTTTTTCCCCTAAACTATAGTTGGAGAAACATACAAGTTTTATTCTTATTAAGAAACCCATTAAAAAATAGAATAAAAATATTTTAACTTATACTTAAATTTCTTATTTAAATTGCAGCTCCACTTCCTTTTTTGTGCTTGTATTTAAAAAAGAATTAGATAATTGTGAAGAGGAAAATGATAGGCTGACAAAAGCACGGTCTAATACTAAATTAGATTCTGTAAATAATAACCTAAAAGACTTGATATCCTTGAGTTAAAACTCTTGAATCATCTCCATTAATTTCCTTATAATAGTAAAATGCACGAGGCAATGGGATTAAAAAGTTGTGCGTTTCGTGACCTCGTGAAAGAGATGTGATACCATACTCCCTACCATGTCAATGTGTTATAGAATAGGTTACGGAATCCATTAAGTTTAACTTTTAATCCCAAAATTTGCTAATACGTGGCAAACAAGTCCTTAATGCTAGATGACCTAGACTGTTAACCATGGAATTAACCGTAGTGCTAATTACGCTAAATTACCCAATAATAATTGCTTTGATGATGGAAGCACAATAATAAAAAAATAAGGGGAAAAATAAAGCATGATTAATACTAATAGTACCATTAAAGCAAGAAATAATGTAGGCAAGGAAGAAAAAGAAGGGCTAAAGCACTTTCATTGGTCCCATACCATGTCCCCTCACTAGCCCCTTTGATGTGATCTAAAAAATTTTATTTAATTTTTTAAAATTTCTTTCCACTGCTATTCTATTGTCTTTCTCTTCCTCCCCACCAAAAACCTTCCCTTTCATTTCATACTTCTCAAAAAGAAATACTAAATGATTTGTCAGTAGCAAACATGTCAAGCAAGGGAAAAGACATAGTAGAAGGATCATCAAGATCCTCTCCAAGTGGTGCTGATCAGCAGCAACAGCAGTTACCACTGAGTCGCTATGAGTCTCAGAAGAGAAGGGATTGGAACACTTTTGGACAGTACTTGAGGAATCAAAGGCCTCCTGTCCCACTTTCTCAATGCAATTCCAACCATGTTCTTGAATTCCTTAGGTATTTGGATCAGTTTGGGAAAACCAAAGTGCACTCACAAGGGTGTTTGTTCTTTGGGCAAAGTGAACCACCTGGACCCTGCACTTGCCCTCTTAGACAAGCTTGGGGTAGCCTTGATGCACTCATTGGAAGGTTGAGAGCTGCATATGAAGAAAATGGAGGCCTTCCTGAAACTAATCCTTTTGCAAGTGGTGCCATAAGAGTCTATCTACGTGAGGTGAGGGACTCTCAAGCCAAGGCTAGAGGAATCCCTTATAAGAAGAAAAAGAAGAAGAGGAATATAATCAAGCCCAACGGGGAAGCCACCTCAAACTTGCCTCTGCAGTAAAGTTTTATGTAATTCCTCTTGGCTTCTTCAGGAGCATGTGGTAAATTTCTAGCTTACTGTTAATTGTAGATTTGCTTATTATTTCTGCTGTTTTCAGAACTAGATGACATGGATAATTAAGGATTTTATTTTAATAAATGACATTGTTATATGTGCATAATAAGGACATAATTGAACAATTAATAGCTAGTTTATATATGGACAACTTTGTGGTTGAATTTTCAGCCCCAAGAAATGAAAATTCATCAATCCCATCAGCACACAGTTCTATTAATCAAAGTATAGCATATATGTTCATTGACATTTCATTCCATAATAATATATAAACCCTAATTCATGTACTTTGAAACCCTAAATCGTATGTATAATAATACATGTAGTTACATGTTATAGATTGTATACGAACAGTAAATACTCTACCTCAGTTTCTTGTTTCTTTTTAACATTGCACTGAATGAGCACACTGTAGAGTAGAGGGATTAGGTAAATGCGCTCTCATCCATTGTCTATTTGTCGCTCTCAAATGCAAGAAGACAACATTATCATGGCTTCTACATTTCGTAATTATTTCTTTTGTGCTCATATAATATATTATATTTGCTTATATACATGTTTGCTTTTCCGCACAATCTTGCTTCTTACGGTATTCGTACTCTCACAAACGATATATATAACCACTGCAGTGATATAAAATTGTAGAATTAAAATTTGATTTACAGATTGATTTTCTTTTTCACTATGTTAAAAAAATATATAGAGGGGGAAAAGGTTCAAGATCCATGGTTGAGGGAAAATTAGATGCTGTTTCAATAGTCTTGTCCGGTGGTGTCGTAGTTTATAAATTTCATTAACGTACTAGCTAGAACCCAAAATCTCTTGCTTTCTTGAAATTTTGTCTTATTCTAACAAATTTTGTTTCTTCTTTCCACATTTCCCATTATATGAATGTCCTTTTCTTTCGTGCTGTTATATGTATATCTGACATCCTTACATGAATTACACTAGAGTCTTTAAACTACTTAATAACACCATACGACCATACTGTATCTTCTTTCATTTTCACAAATTTTAAATCTTCAGTGACAATTAAGGGAAATTGTAATTGTATCCCGACAAGGGGTTGGCCACAACCACAACGTGTAACAGATCTATATATATGTTCCAAAATATTACTTCAGAATTTTTGGCATTGTAGTACACATATTTTCTTTGCATTAATTTAATATTGGGTTCCACTTGCTAATTGATTTCAGATCCTTAAATTATTTCAAAGTCCTGAATATGTTGCTAGGCCTTGGATAACTTCAGCTGCAGTTCTGGAAGTCGGGTTACAATCAACTATCTAGAGATATCCATGGGTCAACTTTTACCCTTTCGTGGTCTTTGTGTCAAGGAGTGTATTTTGTTATTCCAATGAGAGTTTAGAATGAAGTTGACGAAGAATTTTAACATTGGGGTAAGTCCCTGTACTGTATTCACCTATATATATATACCCTATCAAGCATATATAGTCATGAAAATAATCTTGAATTTTCTCCCAAGTAGTGTGTATGATATTGCATGGTATTTCTGATTCCCAGGGAAATTTGGCAGATTGCTGCTTGATGTTTAGAGATATGATTATGCTTTCTTATATGTACGTATACACAGAATCTCCTAAGGGATTGTATGCAAGAAGAAAGACTAAAATGCGAAAGATTAGTGTTCCCCTTTCCTTAACAGTTCTTTGTTTACATGGCCAGACATATATAATATTTTACATTTAAAATCTAACAGATTATAATTTATTATTTCATTAATTATTAAATTTAAGTTAAATAAAAGACTCAAATTGAGTGTAAGAATTTTTAGACTTATACTAATATAAGAAGATCTTGCTTCTATATATATATAAAAGAATAATGGGATTGATAGATCAACAAGTTAGTTACTAATGACACAAAAATTGATAAGATAAGGAAATCAAGGAGATAGAGACTAAACTTTTTCACTATCCATGATGGTATCCCCACAAATATGTAAGATGATGTCCCACATATAGATGCATATAATGCAAGTCGATCAACCCCTAAAAAATCATCGGATACCTCTGCGGTCCCTCTTCTATTCAATCAATACCTTTGACTTAATCCATCCATGTTCTTTCTTTTCTTCTTCACTTCACGCAATGATTTAGACCCTTCATTCAATCATACAGATCGATTTGATACTAAATTTTGTCGACCATATATTGTCTATATTAAGTATATTTCTTAGTAATTTTTTCTTCCGATGGGAATAACTGATCAATTATACAATGACTGTTATCATCCCTTGAATGTTACGAGGATGTTTGTCTGTCAATAGGTGCTCAACTCTCATTGGAACTAGATTTGGACTAAATTAAAGTATTGCCTAGAAAACCTATACATCAGTCCTATATATAAATGGAATCTAATCAAGGAGAATTAAATATTCATTCTAATTATGTAGGATTTTTTTATCCATTATCATTAGCGTTGTCCACTATCCTTTACTTATATATATTTTCGAAATTGAAATAACGCCATGATAACATGTAGCTTGAGTGGTGGAGATAGGAAGCATTATGCTCAATCCTTATATAAAGTATATCTAGATTAGTATGTGACATATTGAATTATAGTGCTCCAATTATAGGAGAGCTAGCATTAATTTTATTTCTTTTGCCATTTCTTTGGTTTCTGATCACTTGCTATTTGTTTGTAATATTTGTGTGAGGATTCTATTTATACTAATTAGGCATATACTATATATAAATACATACCATATGTATTGTCATGAATTGATTATCTTAAAAGTATAAATTATTAGGTAAAAGACATATGAATTATTTTTATATTACATTCTAACGTGATCTTTATGAGATTGTTGAGTTTAAACCGTGAAAAATGTATAGGCCCATTTGTTCTTAAAAATTATATTTTTAGTTTAACTGCATATTTGTTTCTTTATTTTGCAACATATTTTATTTTAGCTTTTAAATATTTTCAGTAAATTATGTCTCTCTATTATTAAAATTAAGCAAGTTTGTTTGTAACATTAATTTTCTTGCCCCTCCCCTCAATTATTACTTTATATCCAAATATTCATGGGGCTATTTTATTAAACTTGAAATGGGAAATTATTTTAAAATTTTAATAAAAATTGAATAAAATTTGAAGGATTTTATGGATTAGAGGTTAGGTTTGAAAAAGATAAAAATAAGTTTTTTTTTATTGCAACTAAAATTGATGTTCTGAATAATAAATTGAGTATAAAGTTTAAAATAATTTAATTGATTTAATTTGTAATGTTTTAGGTAAAATAAAATAAGAATTTAGAGGTTTAAAGTAAAAAAAAAAAATTGATCAAAGAACTAAATTTTACCTAATTTAAAAAATAGGGATAAAACTAATTAAAAATATTAAAATTGCATATAACATAAACTAAAAGAGAAAAAGTATAATTAAATTTAAAAATTTTAATTTGGACAAAGTGACAACAAAGATTGAACAATAAACCACTTAATGATAAAGACTTAATGCCATGTCATGAATAAATGGTTATAAAACTTGAGTTAATATATAGGTGAAGATACAAATAATTTTTATATTATATTTCTAACAAGCATCATCATGTGTGTGTGGAGAATATAGAATTTTGGAGATTGTTTGGCTTTTAATTAACAATAACCATTTGTTCTGTTGTTTAGTTAATTTGGGTTTTCTATATGTTTGAGGCTTGGATGTACAGAAGGACTACTTAGAAGCAATTTGTTGATAGAATGATAGAAAGTTTGATGAGGACGAGAATTTCGCCACTGTAACAAGTTAATAAGTTGTTGATGGGACCGTAAGCTTGGGTTTTTGTTGGAAGATCCGATCCATGATTTAATGCATTAATTGCAATCCTACTAATTAAAGTAGGTCCATTAGGTGTTGTGCCGTTGTGGTGCGGCAATTCCAAAAAATGCAGTTAGAGTGGGTCCTAAAACTACGATATTACTTAAATAAAAACGTTGGCCTATAGAAGCACAAAATAAATTAAAAATCCCTTAGTCTATTTTAATGCATGTTTTGATATATAGTTTTCTTATTGCAAGTGCAAGAGACTTTATATATGTATATATTGAAAATAGAAAGAAATACTTAGTTCTCATCACTAGGCGTCGATCAAAATGGTGATTCGTCTCCCTATTCAGTAATTGCTAATCAATTTGTCATAGTAGTGGCTATTACAATCCTGTTTATGGAAGAGAAGAGTTGTAGAGAAATCAACGTCCACCCGAATATAGTTTTGAATCCCATTCATATAGGTTAATAGGGGGGCAACTAGGGTATATATATGCACTGTGATGTAGTTGGTTATCAAGATTTTTAGAATTTTAATATCATAGAAAGACCTTCCCATCAGAACCTTAATATCGTAGCTACATTTAGAATTGCCATGTTATTAACCTTATAAACCTATTGTATGAACCACTGTTAACTAAAGTAATTCTTGAGCTAAAAAGCAACGAGTTAAAGTGATCTTAAGATGTGGCAAGTTCAAGCTTTGTCTTAGTGATTAGTGATCAGTTTTCCCGTAGGCACAGGAACTCTCGATTCGCATGCATGCTCAGGATATTACGAATTCTTGTAAGTGAAATCACTCCAATTTAATTTGCATGCTAGTTTTAAACAAAAATTCTTTAGAAGAATGCCCCCACTACAACACAAGAGGACTTAAATATATTACGGGAATGCAAAGTATATATTTACGTGCTATGACCTCAAGAATGTTCAGATTTTTTTTTTTTTTTTTTTTATTTCTATTTTTCAATAATGTTAAAAACTACCTTTCTGCTGCTTTAGAAAAATGAGCGAGATTTCCGAGTAGCTTTCAAAGGTGAAAATTAAATGACTACTACAAAGTAGAGTCCTAATTGTTGTTTGACTACTTTCAATTAAAAAAAATTGTTATAAGAAGCGATTTTACTAACCGTGACAAAACAACGGTTTATTTTTATCAAGAATTATGCATAATGCACAGTGAAATTTGTGATTCACAAAAGCAAAGTGGGGTAGTGCAAATGAAAGTGAATTGTGATCACCACGGGTTAACTTGAGGCTCGTGCGATTATGAACATGGTTATGGCTCATCATGGTATTTGAATTTTGAAAGTACACAAATTGACTTTGTTTTTTGGGTAAGCAGTGCACATGCTGACTGAAGTTCGTGAAGTTCAGAACTTGGGCTCAAAACATAAAGTCATAAACTAGAATGTGGTGCTTTGTTCTATTTTGTGCGCTAAATATTTGCAGCTATGTTAGCCATTTTACAAAAATAGACTACAGTAGAGATCAACCCTTGAAATGGCTTAGCTTATTAACCAAAATAATCACACTCACACATACATACATGTAATAAATACACCCGGCCTCTTTGATTTAAGATTATATATTATTTTCACAATAATATTATCATATTTTTATTATATTTTATTTCTAAAAGATATATACAATACTTTGTCAATAAAATAAAAAGTGATACTGTTGTACCATTTTTTATTGTTTGAAATAATTACTTACAGCGCAATAATATAATTACTCTCTAAATGTTAGTTATAAAGTTATAGAATATCTTTTCTCACGTTAAATCTTTAAACAGTTTTAGTAACTTATAACTTATAAACTCAATAAAAATGGAGTATTGCTCAACTCAAATCTAATAAAGATGGAGTGTCTTTTAATTTATATAAGTTTTATGAATTTTTTTTCTTCGTTTTATTCGTAGTTTTTACATCTCAATATTAACAAAGTTAATTTCTTCTACAATCTTTATTTTTTTCTTTTTTTCTCTATTAATAATAAAATTTTATATTATTTTGATTTTTTTATTTATCTTTATTTCATTCATTTAGATGTGAATTATTTAATTAATATAACATACAAACTTAAGTTTCTACAAGATAAATAATTAATTTAGATTTATAATTAAAAAATTAATAAAAATTTTAAATCATAAATATACAAATTTAAATTTAAACATAATAATAAATTAATTTTAATTTGTAATAAAAAGTCTATAAAAAAAGATATTTTAAAATTTAGATTTGTGATTTATACTTTAAAAAATTTTTTTAAAAATTGCTCTCTAAAAAAATACTTAATGAGAATTGCATACAATAGCTTTTTAAGTATATTTATTTTGGACAACAATTACTCTTTAAAATAATGTGAAATTATTTTCTAATAAGTGTACATACTTAAAATATTGCGTTCGAAGAATTAACTCTATGTATTATAAATGTTCACAAGTTGGGTAAAATTGTTTCCAACAAAAAAATTTGTGAAATATATTTATAAAGCAAAAGGT